AACCAGGTTTGGAGAATTATCAAGGAATCTGTAGATGAGAGTGATAGAAACAGTGATTAGGAGAGGAAGAAAGAGTATATCTAAATAATATAACCCTTAAAAGGATGTTTTCAGTTTTGGTTCTGAAGCATTTCACACACACATGCTCGTACGCACGCACACAATCCTTTGGAGAAGGGTGAGAGAAATGGGAACACCACCTTTAGATGTTTGGAAATAATAATAGCTTCACATCTAGAAAATTTTGTTTGATGAAGATAATCTGTGGTTTTCAGTAATACTTCTTAACCTATTCATATAGTATATTTAGGACTTACTGCTGCCAAATCTTGTACTTGAGTCTACCCTTACCCCTGACTGGTTTATATAATATCTGTGTATCCTCTTGTAGTATTTCCCCTTGTTGACTTTTTCTCCTGTATCTTTCAGTGCTGTCCTTTGCCGTGGTTGACTTCTTCCATATTGCATATTGTCTTTTCCTTCACCAACGTTTGCGCTTGTTGCCTGTTGAGTTAGTACTGTTCCTTCTCACCTTCTGCCATCCCTGGTAACCATAACATCAGAGAATGTTTATTTCTTTTGGTCAACCTTTTAAAAACTTTTATAACAATGAGCTCATAAAATATCTTTTTTTGTGTGTGGTTGATTTATTCCACTCAACATAATGTCCTCCAGGATCATTCATACTGTGAGATGTTTTGTGGATTAATTGCTATAATGATAATTAAATGTATTTTTTAGTATTCTGTTGTATGTACATACTAGCGTTTGTTTATACATTCATCTATTGATGAGCAGTTAGATTGTTTAGGTCTTATTGCTAATGAGAATAATACTGTAGGGAACATAGAATGGTATACATATGTCTTTTGAGATTACAAGGTTTAAAAGAGTATATGTGCCCCAAACACAGTGTCTAAAACACAGTAATTATGCAGTATATAAGTATAAGAAGAAGAAAGGGGTTGATCCATTTTCTAAAAAAGATTTGTAAGATGTGAAAGCACCAACTATGTGCAATATAAGAATACTGAAAAAACAACTGTTCGCCAGGACTCAAGGAACCAAAATTGCATTGGCTGGCCTCAAGGGTCACATTTTTTAAGTCAGTCTTGCTGATCTGCAGAGTGATGAAGTTGCATTTACAGAGTTTAAGCTAATTACTGAGGACATGCAGGGCAAAAACTGCCTGACCAACTTCCATGGCATGGACCCTACCTGTGACAAAATGTGTTCCATGGTCCCAAAATGGCAGACCATGATTGACTCTCATGTTGCTGTTAATATTACTGGTGATTATCTGCTTCATCTGCTGGTTTTACTAAAAAACGCAGCAATCACATTTGGAAGACTTCTTAAGCTTAGCACCGACAGGTCCACCAAATCTGAAATAAAATTATAGAAATCATGACCCGAGAAGGGCAGACAAATGACTCGAAAGAAGTGGTCCATCAATTGATTCCAGACAGCATTGAGAAAGACATTAGAAAGCTTGACAGTCTGTTTATCCTTTCCATAATGTGTGCTTCAGAAAAATGAAAATGCTCAAGAAGCCCAAGTTTGAATTGGGAAAACTCATGGAGCTTCATGGTGAAGGTGGTGGTTCTGAGTAAGTGACTGGAGATGAGTCAGGTGTTCAAGTGGAACGAGCTGATTGCTGTGAGCCACCAGTTCAAGAATCAGTTTAGATATCAGACTTTTAATGTTGACAAATGAAATATCCTATTGGGGGTGTGTTAGAATGGGTAGACTGGAGAAACAAATTCATAGACACTCGTGTATAAGAAAGAGCTTTATATACAAGAGCAATGGTGAGTGAAAAGAGCTTTATATACAAGTGAATAGTGAGAAAAAAAACCCAGCCCAGTTCAGATCAAGTCCATATGTCTGATATTAGCCCATATGTCTGATACCAATCTATAAATTCCTCTTCAGGCTCATGAAACACATGCAATGGTGGCAAATGCAGGAAGATCACAGGCTGGTGGGTGGGAAGTCTGGATCCAGTGCCATTGTAAGCATCTCAGCACTGGCAGGGGTCTCAGACCACATAGTTCCTCCAGCTCAGGGCGCTAGTATAGTTCCATGTGTCTTGTCAGCTGCCATGTCTCCCAGGGGGAGTGAGTAGAGAGAAAGAGTGTCTCCCGCCTCCAAGGAGGAATACAGGAATTCCCAGAATCCTCTGGAGAAGGCCATTCCTACACAGAGGCCTGATTGGCTGT